ATTTTCCATGTCAATTTCCTATCAAGTACCATTCCAAGATATTTAACGGAGTCTTTAATGGAAAAATTATATGAACCTAGGACAATGTAACTTAATTTAGGTATGTTGTGTCTACTGAAAACACAAACTTCAGACTTGGAGTAGGAAATCTGAAATCCATTTAATATTAACCATTCATGAACAACACCAAAGATGTCTTTGAGAGAAGCCATAGTGGTATTAAAATTCTTATTTTCAGTATATATGCAGAGGTCATCTGCATACTGTACTATTTTAAACGGAATGTGATTAAAACTTAATTGATGTAAGTCAGCAGTATACATATTAAATAGAATAGGGCTTAAAACTGAGCCTTGTGGAAGTCCGTTGTTGTTATTTCGTGGACCTACAATTGTGTTATCAAAATTTCTTAAAAATATTTTTCTATTAGTGTAGAATTTAATAATCATGTTGATTACCTGATTTGGTATATGAAATAATTTCAACATTTTATCTCTTAAAATGGGGAGGCATATATTATCATACGCACTTTCTACGTCTATAAAAAGCGCAGAAAGGTAATTGTTTCTGCCAAAATTATTGTTTATGTCTACAACGAGAGTACTAAGAGCATCTAGGGAACCAACTCCTTTTTTAAAAGAGAACTGATTTTGGCAAGCTAATTTATTATAAGTTATCCACCATTCTAGTCTAACTTTGATAATTCTTTCCAAAGTCTTCAAAACACACGACATCAAAGAGATTGGCCTATATGATTGTACCAAGTTGGGATCTTTATTTGGTTTGAGGATTGGTATGACAATAACAGTTCTTAATACATCAATGTCTGCATCTTTAAAAAGAATATCATTAAAAATATCAAGTAATACGTTTTTCGCTATATTGGGAAGTTTTTTAAGCATAGGATATTTAATATCATCGTAACCCGGAGCGGTGTTAGACCTATTAGTTAGCGCAAAGTCAAGTTCTTCCCGTGTAAATGGATTTAGAAGAAAGTGACTTGAAGTTATAGTATTATTTTGAATTTCTATAGCAGTGTTAACTGATGGAGGTGCTATTTTGTCAAAAAATTCTTGAATCAGTTCATCATTAAAATGATTAGTACTTGGAGTATACTTCCTTTGCATTTTCCTTGCTTCATTCCACACATTTTTAATAGGCATATTTTTATTTAATGATGAACACCAGTTTTTTCCAAGTTTCTTTGGCTTTTCGTTTTAGAACTTTTTTTGTTTTAGCCATTACTTCCTGACATCGTACGTAATTAGTGAAACTAGAGTTATTTTTATATGTTCTTAAAGCATCTTTCCTGTCAGAAACAACTTGTTCACATTCGAAATCCCACCACGGAGGAGGTGGTCGTTTAATAATTTTAAAGGGTTTATATGTCGGAATGGATTGAGAAGATGCATTATTAATACTTTCCACTAGGAAGTCATATTTCTCTGAGGTAGACAAGCTGTCCGAATAGTTAAGAAAGTTTTGTTCAATTAGATCAGAGTATTGGGTCCAATTAGCTTTATTAACATTCCATTTGGACTTTGGAAGAATGTATTCATTACGAGAAATAACAGAAGAAAAATTCATGAGAACTACATAATGATTCGATCCCAGTGTATCATCCAAGACGTCCCAAGTAATTTCTTTTGCTAAATCAGGAGAACACAACGTAATATCAACACTAGATTGTTTCACATCCGGGCGGGTCAGACAAGTTGCGTTGCCATTATTAAGAACAACTAAATCAAGAGTATCAATGGCATTAATAAGTTGGTGCCCAATGCCATCATTCTTAAGTGAACCCCACAAACTGTTATGCGCATTCATATCACCACCTATAATGCAAGGAAAATTAAATTGTTCAAAAATTTGACACCAATCTTTGGAAGTCGATCGAATATCTGGAGGTCTATAAATTGAAGCAAAATTAATATCAGAGTTATTAAATTTTAACGTGATTCCACAAACAAGTATATCGTCATTAAAATTGTGTGTAATACAAATTTCTTGAAAAAGAAGAATTGATTTTATAAGTATAGCCACTCCCGCGTAACCATCATATCGGTCGCGACGAATAATCTTATAACCCTTAAAGTTATATTGTTTATCGGGTTTAAACCATGTCTCACTCAACAAGGCAACATCAATATCATTTTCATTTAAAAAATGTGTTAAACTGTTTTTGTTGGCGACAGCAGATCTACAATTCCATTGCATGATTTTTAATCTATTTAAGAGAGTGAAAATTATGTAACCTTTTTTGTACCCTCCAATACAGAAGTAATTTCATGATTTATTATTTCATTATCTAATGATTTCAAATCGTCCAATGTACGTATATTTTTTAAAAAACTAATTACAAAGTTAGTCATAGCTCGAGCAATATCTTGGTTTTCCCTTTTTCCACTATGGGAAGTGGAACGGGGTGGATTAGCAGGTAGAGGTTGAGATGGTCCAAATCTGAAGTTAAACATGGGAGGTGGCTGAACAGAGTTAGAAGATACAGTAGGAGAAGAATTGGCTTTCCTCTTTTTGTTAGGAACTGAGTAATTGTTCGAGTTTTGGCGAAAAGTTGGATTAAAATTGGTACTCGTAGTTGCATTAGAAGTAGATTGCGCAGATGTTAGGGACATTTTATTTTGTGTAATATCAGGAAAATTTTTATCGTAGTTCGCTAAAATTGAGAACTTATTTTGGCCTAGGGCCTCTGAATACGAGTTTTCATTAATTTCCTTGGCTTCGATAAAGGAAATTTTATTTTTAATCATAATATTTTTAATTTTTTGTTGTTTTTGATAAGAAGGACAACTTTTTGAAACCGAAACATGTGCAGTACTCTTACAATGAATGCAACTAATCTCTGAATTTTCGCAAGAATGATTTTCGTCTTTATTCTTTCCACATCTAATACATAGATTTTGAGAACTTCTACACTGTTTTGAAATGTGACCGTATCTCAAACACCTGTAACACTGAGTAACCCTACCTACAAATTGTTCGACTGGACAAAAAACTCTATTTATAATAACATACTGAGGCAGTATATTACCTTCAAAAGCTACAATAACAGTTCGTTTTGCAACATACTCAATTGTACCATTTTTTTCAACTTTTCTATTCATACGTTTAATATTTAATATACGTGAAGGAGATTCAATATTTTCCTGTAAATATACAGTATCAAATTGAGTATCAATATCCCGAATTAAACCCTTGCTTTCTAATAAGTGACCGGGAATAAAGGCTTTTAAATTTTCTTCCTTTAGTTTACTATTATTTATAAGATTATTTGCATCATGTATAGAAGCTACTACTACCTTAATTCTGTTTCTACCAATTGCCCTTACTTGAATTATATTGGAAATTCCTAATTTTTTGTACAAAATATGGCCTATTGTAATTGGATGTAAGCGACCAAGATCGGTGTTATCTATCCTTTCAATATACACAAAAATATTTTCAAGATTATACTTATCTGAATTTACGTTAAATCCTCTATTTTTTAACGGTACCACGTTTTCTTCAGGCTCCATTACTTCAGATGACCTAACAATATTGTTAGAGGCACTTAAAAGCGTCCTTGAGTCAATTCCAGTCCCCATAGGGGACGCTAACACATTTTTGAGCACTATGCGAGTATGTTTTTATTAAACACTACAATTTAAAAAACTAGCCGAATAAAATTAGTATTGCTTAGTATTGCTTTAAATTCAATGAAATAAACTTTAAAATGTAGAGAGTATTAAAAATACGTATCCACACTTTGACAGTTATTTGACACTTGAAACATATTATTAATTATTATATATTGTGTATTTATACAATAATTATTCTGTTTTACATATTTAAAGTGGTAATTAATTATTCAATTAGCGTTTTGGATTTTTTGTATTGTGTGAAAGACAGGTTACATTTTCCTACTATTCTTTATATATTTTTTACGGGCGGTTTAACACCCAAAACCCCCCCTGGGTGCGCCACAAATATTCATGGAAGTTGTTCTAGATATACATATTACATGTGTCTTCATAATGTGCCATACCCAAATTTGAGTGTAGGTTATTCCTCTACATATATGTGTGTTGTGTATCATTCAGTATACAAAGATAAACGGAACTCTGAGTTTAAAGCCGAATCTAAACGACTAAACGTAGAAGCGCCGAATTAGACAGATTATAGCTTTGTGGTTTATCAGAGTCTTTGAAGTGACGATCTAATTGATACTATTTGGTTTTTGTAGCGGGGATAGAACAAACATAATTCAGCACAAAAGGCGAATACCTCTCAGTTATGTAGGCTACCTATAATTCTCGACCCAACTTTGATGAAAGTCAGTATTGGGGCATGTTCCAAGACGATTTGCAAAGGAAGAATACCTTCGTGTATAAATGTACTACAAAGTTGAGTTACAAAACCACAAATGGAAAACAGATCACATTTCTAACCAAACGAGAATACTGTTAAGTTGTTCTGCAACTTTTAAGTGGAAATTCGCGCTATTAGAAGTAGTAGCCCAGTTAGACTTAGACAAAAATCAGTAGATATAGTAGATCTTATAGCAGTATGACTTCTCCCCTACTACTAACGGACAGGCAGTGACAACAAGTCTCAGATGTTTCTAGAAATTTGAAGTACAAATGACTACGCTGATGTTCTTATTCGTTAGGCATATAACGAGTTAAAAAAGGTAAACTAAAAGACTATGGTTATTATAATAAATGCTACCCCAAGTCATAAGGATAAACAACAAAAATAATTAAAAAAATTAATAAAATCCTTATGCAAGCTTTAATATATTGTTTGCTGATTGACATATAATTTGAAACCCACTAAATAACGTTACAATATCATTACATCCTTGATGCGGCTTAATAAGAGCTTTCAACAACGAAACACAAACCTTAAATAGAGACAGCTATTACACATGAGAAAAGCTTTGTTTGACACTTTAAAATGCTTAAGAAATGAAATTGCTTTATTGTTGTTTAAAATGTACGTACCAAGAAGTGGTTGTTTTTCTTTTATTTCATCCAGATTTCTAGAACTGCTTGAGAGATACTGATCTATCCGTTTGGCCTCATCGATTGCTGCCTGGTATCTATCTTCTATAACTGCATTGATGATTGGATTCACTTGCTGTATACGCGCTATGTAAGCCTTAATAACGCTTTCACATGTTACCTAAAAACATATTTTAGTTAAAATAGAAAGCATATTTTTACAATTTAAATAAATCTGCATTTGATATCATATTTTACTGGTTAGTGTCAAACTAAATAAAAGATTGGCTCAGTGAAAAAAAGGTACGTTGTATTTATGGCAAATATTGCGTTCTGATAGTAGTTACAAATCTATCACATTTTTTTTTCATGTTATTGTTAATATTTCTATTTAGATCCAGATGTAGCCATACTGTTCACAATCCCTCTAAGCAGAAAATTCACTCATTCCAGATACTTACGGGATCAAAAGAATTGAGCTCTGGTGGAACTCTTTTCTTCCGTGTTATCAAGTCCTAGGTGGCTTGGTACGTCGGTGTATCTCCCAACAATTTGGGCACGCATCTGGACGTCGAGAGTAGCACAGCTTGCTACATGATCTTATATAGATGTTCATTGAGACCCAGCTTTTTTATCTTTTCTAGGAGGTTCTTTGGAATGAATTCAGTGGTAGAAAGAATAATAGGTGTCATCTGGGTACTTTCCCTTTTCCATTGTCTCTTTATTTGTATTTCCAGATCTCTGTAGTAGGCGATCTTTTCGTTATACTTAACTATTGTTGATAGGTCTCGTCACATCGATTAGTGTTGTTTGTCTCGTTAATTTATTCACTAACACGAAATCTGGTCTATTATGTGCTACATATCTGTGAGCACAGTGCGATCCCAATATAGCTTATAGTTGTCATTCTCAAGCATACTTTCAGGAACGTATTGATAATATGGGAGATGGTTTGTTTGTAAAAGTCTCGGTTTAAAATCTCTTGATGAAGGTTCTTCCCTACTGTCTCATGATGTTCTTTATATTCAGTTGCAGCAAATGCCTGACAGCTCCCGGTAAGATGTTGGATGGTTTCTTGGGCTTGACATCCATATCGGCATTTGTCGTTTTGGTCCTGAGGATCTTTGACGATATATTTCAGATATTTTCTGGTTGGTATAACCTGGTTGATATAGTAGCATTTGTAAATTCCTCGATATATATTGAAATCCCCTCGTATATATTTAAATCATCGAAGAATGTTTTTAGTGTATTTCATTTCCTATTTATACACGTTAAAATACCCAAAAGTGTTTTCAATCCTTTTATTTCCATCGCTGGAGTTAACATAAACCATTTTATAGTTTGTTTATATTTCACAGATGCGCATTTTCCTCGATATTTCTTTGATCAAAGATGCTTAATATTCTGCGTTTCAAATACTCATTCATTTAGATCGCTGAGAAAATTTTGCTGGCAAGATTGCGACACTCTCGCTTATGTTGCTCTCAGAAGCAGTTGCTTACAGTGTGGGTCCAAACTGTTCGTCAAATTTGTGATGATTCCTGTGTTTATTCCTTTTTATAGAAAATATATAGTGTCCCCAATTCAATCTTCTTGCCATTCACTTATTCACGATCCAGTTACTTCAAATAAACCCTGAGCGTCGTTCGCATAAGTATCGTTTATTTTGCTTGCCTTATCTCCACCCCCAGTAACTTCTGTCCCAGTTTTTAATACCCATAATAATACCCTATATGGTAGGCAAAATATTTCGTTACAGTATTTGGATTATTTATATTTTATTCTTACATATCTGTCGTTCCGATTCAATGAAAACTTTATATTATTTGTTGTCTCTATAGCAAAGTTTTAAAAATAGCATGAGGTTTTAATACTTCGTGCTTTTCAGATGACACTCCATATGCGGTTGCATCTTCAATAAATTTTTCATTTCAAATATCAGACAGACATGAGTATAACCGAAAAGGGATAGGTATATATGATAGTAATCCAGTTTAATACATTACTTTTAGAATTTCAACTCGAAAACATGGTCCGATTTTCCTCGATCTTGTAGGCACGATTTGCCTACAAGATCGAGGCAAAGCAAGTCAACTGTCAAATTGGATGCTACAAAGCGTCAATTAGTGAATACTATAGGTTATAATAATTTATATTATTAATCATTTTTGAAAAACTATTCTGGATTGAAAATTGACACGTGAAAAGCAAAGTAAAATGTAATTTTTATTACAATCAATAAATTGTGGCTTAATCCTATAAAAATACAATATTTAACTATAACTTGGTCTATCGAACAGGTAATGATAACATGTAATTTGATTTGAAATTTAATTTGATTGATTAATGCATCCATTATATAATTATGAAAGTATACCTCATCTGTTAGTAATTTCATTACAAGTCTTACGTAAATCTAGACAAAACTCATGATACTCTACCGACAGAGTAGGTATTTAGTCTAATGTTACCTTTTCCCTAAATATCGATAACCAATTTTATTTCGTTAGCTTTTATGACGTCATTGAAACTATAATATGCAACGCTAATTATTTTGCTAGTACTGTACGTGTATTTACCTTTTGCTGTCTAATTCTCTCAGCTAGTTCTGAAGCAGACAAGAGGAGGAGTTCATTTTTGACTGGAGGGCAAGTTCTTGATTTTCTAAAAGCTCTTTTTATTAGGATCGGGATATACAAAACGTTTATAGATTTTATAGCCATCCAAAATAAAACTCGAATAGCTATGATTCCGGGAGGCATTATCTGCAACAAAGAAAAATATTTAAATTTGAGGTTTTGGTTTATTAGTAATAATACGAAATATACCATATTAATTTATTATGATATGTTTTTCAAAAACAATACTAATATACGACCATATTATATTTATACGTCTAAAGACGTATTATCTTTGTAGTGAATTAAAATTTTTTGTTTAAACTTCCAAAAGGCGCGTATGCGGTACAGACTGACACCTATACCACAGAATAATAAAACAGTTATTATAAATCAATTGTTATTTATTCTATGCCTACACTCCCACCCTTGTAAGAGGAGTTTTTTTTAGAGGTATAGACATGTAAGCTGGTAACACTGTTTTAACAGTCGGCAATTTTGACAGCTGTCAAGTGATTTATGCTAAGTTCGGTTTCGCATTTCATCACGAATAGACTTGACGACCGAACAACGCTTTCAAATTGTACAAATATCTTTTCATAAGGGAATTTTGTTTAGCAATGAAGTTCATTTTTGATTAAATGGCTACGTCAACACACTTAACTGTCCTATTTGGAGTTAAAATAATCCTCAAATGTATATTGAGAAATCATTACATCCAGAAAAACTGACTGTTTGGTGTGCTTTATGGTCTGGTGAAAGCATTGGACCGTACTTCTTCAAAAACGATGCTGGCCAGAAAGGAACAGTCAATGGTGACCGCTATAGAGCCATGATTACTGCTTTTTTTTTATTCCTGAATTAAACAATAAGGAGCTGTCGTTTGATAATCGCATAGTTTCACGTTTCGGACGTGAATTGGCCTCCAGAATCGTACGATTTAACACTGCTAGACTAGTTTATGTGGAGAGATATGAAGGTTTTAGTCTACGCCGATAAGTATGAAACGATTGACCACTTGGAGAACAACATTCGCCTCGTTGTTGTCGATATACGGCGACAAATATTGAAAAAACTAATCGAAAATTGAACCTCCAATTTAGACTACGTCAAAGGATGCCAGAATTATAATACAAAAAGATTATCTTTCGAATAAAGTCAATTTTATGTAAATTTATAAAAATTATCTTTGTTTTATTTTATTTCAAAGTTCTATGCTTATTAGTAATAGGTGCTCGTGATTTTATCTATTTACCTGTTTTAGTAATGCTAATCTATTGTCAAATTTTATCGCTTGAAGAACTTGAGGTCTATATAGTAGTTATTATAACCTCTATCGTATTTGGTACATATGCGACCTCTTATGTAAGTTTCAGAAACAAATATTTTAACTTCGATAATCCAGAAGATGTCGAAGCACTTAGAAATGTGATTATAGGTATCGATTCGAGTGACAAAGAAAATTGTATAGACGACAGTGGCATCGATTAAGTGGAGGTTAACTATAGTGTATTTTTATGTATGAGAGAGTAATAAAACAATAAATTATGTATGCAAATCCCTAAACTGTTCATACGGGTGACTCAATGAAAAACAGATATTAGTCAACAAGTTTACAGAAGTATATAGGAAAACAATTTTAAATTGAGTATGACTACCAGGTATAAAGGTTGGAGCAGAATAGAATACAATGGTTGTGAGGGTTACTAATCCCTAAATAAGGTTGCCAGGGTCGGAGTGATGGAGGTTAACAGGTACTAATGAATTTGCAAGAAATGTAAGATGTTTATTTTATTGGTTATATATAACCAATAAAAGTTTAATAAGTACCTACCTATTTGCAAAATAAAGTTTAATTCTTTAGATAAAATAAAACGTTTTATTTTATCTGAAATGAGTGCATTCCACGAAGTAAGGGTTTCAACAATCAAACATTTAATTCTTTAATTCCGGGAATCTACGACAGTAATTGACTAGATAATTACCTTCTAAACTTATTCCACAGAAAATGTGATAGTGGGTTTTTCCATTTTGTAGAAAGGTCCAAGTGGCGTATTCAAAATTCTTAACAGTTCACTAAAAGTAGGTACTTCAGTTGCAAGGTGCAGTTTATTGTGTATACTAGTGTTATGGAAAATTTGGAAGTGCCGTGTAAACGCCGAAAAATTGGTCCTTTAACAGTTAATGAAAAAACATTAATATTTAATTGTTTTAAATCATTTACAGACAAACGTTTACGTGAAAGTGTTGATGAGACCGTTGAGTTAGTTAGCAGTACACTTGGTGTTGGGAAATCTACGATTTACAGAGTTATTAAAGGAGAGAAATGTGGTAGTTTTCAAATGCCACGTAATGCTCCAGGGAAACCAAAATTTCAAATAGAATATCATTTTAAAGAAGGACTTCGACGGAAAGTGCATGAATTCTTCTTTAGACAAGAATTTCCAACATTGGATAAAGTTCTTGTCTCAGTTCGAGATGATAAGGATTACCCAGAAATGAGTCGAAGTACGTTATGGAAACTTTTAAAAGAAATAGGCTTCCGCTGGAAAAAGAATCCCAGAAAGTCTGTTTTATTAGAAAGAAGCGATATTGTCATATGGAGAAGACATTTTCTAAGAACCATAAAGGAAATGAGAAACCAAAAAAGAAAAATATTTTATCTTGATGAAACATGGATCAAAGAGAGTCATACACCAAATAAATGTTGGCAGGATGAAACTGTTACAAGTCAAAGGCACGCTTTTGTAAATAACTTATCTACTGGTTTAAACCCACCATCAGGAAAGGGACGCAGGCTGATAATAGTACACGTTGGCAGTTCAGACGGTTTTGTTGAAGGTGGTTTATTAACTTTTGAATCAACTCGTACCGGTGACTACCATGAAGACATGAACGCTGATGTCTTTCAAGAATGGTTCGAACAAATGATAGATCTTCTTCCTAAGAACTGTGTAATAGTAATGGATAATGCAAGTTATCACTCCAGACTTATAGAAGGACTGCCCACAACCAAGTGGTTAAAAAAAGACTTGCAGAATTGGCTGAGTTCAAAAAATATTACGTACCATCCCGGATCTATAAGAAAGGAACTTTATTCGTTGTGTGCCCTTCATAAAGAAAAATTTAAAAAATACGAAATTGATGAAATTGCCAAAAATCGTGGAATGACAGTACTTATCCCCACCATATCATTGTGAATTAAACCCGATTGAACTGGTATGGGCACAGATAAAGAGTGAAGTTTCAAGAAAAACTAGCAAGTAAAAAAGGCTGGGAAAAGGCAGTAAATCACACTATTAAAGAAGAGGAAAAATGTGGAAGCTGGACAATATTACTGATAAAATGATCGAACCAGTTATTATAAATCTTGGTTCTGAAAGTTCATCTTCTGAATCTGATTTGGATTTGTAACAAGTAGCTGTAAGTTTTATATTAATATTTTTATTCATTTATTTAACATACCTTAGACGGTTTTAAAAACTCTTTTTCTCTTTTGTAATTTTAAAAAATTAAAAAAAATGTGAATTTTTTAAAACCCATTTTAATGTAGGCCAGTCAGTTCTAACACAGTGTGTGATAAAAGAGGTCACTTTTGTTTACATACACATAACACTTTATAACACTGAAATAATTCATTTATTTTTTACAATTATTCAAAGTAATTTTTCAATTAATCTTGAGCAAGCCCATGGAGTGGTCGGAGATACCAGTTAAAATTATGCTAATTACTCTTTCGTTCATAAAAATAAACTATAGGAATGTAAAGCGGATTCTAAAAATGCTATAGAATCTGGCAACGAAAATGGCATTAAAAACATACAATCTGTACTTCATAAAGTATTAAAAAAAGAGGTTAGTCTTCGTAAGTGGGTATATTTATTTAAAAAAAATATACCCACATAAATATACCCACTTACGAAGACTAACCTCTTTTTTTGTGATACTTGGTACACAGCCAGCTACAGGAATTGTTTTCCTTGTGGATTTAAAAAAAAAGGTTAAAGCAATTTATTCTTTATATTTACTCTCTATAAAACTTAATTAAACCCATACAATGACAATAATTAATTTAGATTTTTATTTTTAAATTTTTATTTTTATACTAATAATTAATTTATATAAAAATTAGTAAATTTGAAATTTAACTTAGCTGGAGTTCTTGCATAAATTATTACAACGGAAATATCTAGATTTTTTACTTTTATAATGATTTCCTGTCGATTCAAATCTTTTAAAATAGCCATTTGTAAATTTAAATAAATATTATATATTTATAACAGTTAGCTGCAGGAAGCTTAAGACCGACAGAACTGGAAGAAATTAGGGGGGGCCTATGTCCAACTTTGGACGCAGAAGGCTGGATGATGATGATGATAGCAGTTATTCCTAACTATAGCTTCTAGTAATCTTTTATTTGCAGTTTACAATAATCGCCATCCTTGAATTATGGAAAATGAAGAAAAGATTTAATGATTTATACACAAAATAAAATTTAAAAAATATTAAAAATGGTATTATTTATTTCATTCGAGATCCTCGATCAACGTCTGTACTAGGAGTGTCGTTAAGAATTTAATATATATATCTCTACCTAAAATGAATACTAAGGAGGTAGTGATTAGGAAAAATATTTAAAAAATTGCAAATTATTCATTGATTAATTAACTAACCAAAGGTTTAAAATTAATTAAAATTGAATAAAAATTAAATTCTATAATAGATGTTTTTTTTTTAATTTAAAAAATTATATGCACTATGGACCAAGATTCATGATTCTTATGTACCTTGAGACAAACGTCTTGTACCTTAAGATGATGTTCAGAAAAAGGTAACAAAGGTCAAATAACGGTTTTATTGACAAAGAAAAATATTATGTTCCTTGTAATAAAGTTAGCTTAAGCAATCAAACATGGCAGAAGTTACAAACATATGTCTTCCAAGCATTTCCTTCAACCTTCAGAAACCTTCGAGTTACTACACTAAATACATTCTTAGTTTGCACTGTCTTCACTGTCACTAAAAATTTTATCATCTTCTGTATCAGAAGACGAGTCTATAAATTTCTGTTATATTGCCTGCTAGATCAGAAGACGAGTCGATAAACTTCTGTTGTTTTGCTTGCCGTCGTACCTTTTTTTCTTCAA